GGATGGTAACAACATACATTAACACATTAAAGGCTCTGATAAGTCCCTCAGCAAATAAACCTGGTTCCTTTTCTTTAACTTGGTATTTCCCAAACTCACTTGGTCTCAGAATCCCTTTGCACTATAATAATTAATATTCCACTGAACTATTGTCCCACAGGACGCACACTGGGAAACACTGCAAGGGAACTACAAAGAAAATGAAATATAAGCTATTAATGAGATGTAAAACTGATCCAGGGAAACCAGGTGATGGTGGAAAGAGACCAAGCACTTTGGCCGGAGAACTGTGCCTGAAACGTCTCAGTATTGCTCATCCCAGTCTCCCTGGGGCATCCCTACTTATTTATGGCTACTCCAAAAAAAGTATCCTGAGAGCCAACTAGGTGCCAGGCATAGGGCTACCTACTGGAATATAAAGATAAGTCATGGGGCCAGTCATAGTGGCTCGTGCCTGTAATCCCAGCATTTTGGGAGGCAAAGGCAGGAGGATGCTTGTGGCCAGGAGTTCAAGATCAGCTTGGGCAACACAACGAGACCCCTTTCTCTACAAAAAATTAAAACATTAAAATTAAAAATAAAAAGAGAGAAGTCAGACTCCAGTAGAGACTGCAGTCATGGTTAGTATTCGGAGACACAGTGCAAAACTGATGTTTCTCTGTGAATCGCAGCCTTCCTGCTGAGCCTTCTTACTTCCAGGAGCCATGAAGCACGGGCACATTTGTCCCTTGGATCTCACTCAGTTCTGCTGACTTTGTCAAAGCTTAGCAAGGAGCTGGGGTGGATGGGGAGAAGCAGAGCCTCCTGGTAAAGTTTGGGTCCTGATCTGTGAGTGATGGTGTCAGCCACACCTGAGTGCCCTCCTAAAGGAAAACACCCCATCAGGAGGCCCAGGGGGAGGAAAATGGCTTTAGGCTGGGCTTGAACAAAAAATGGCCCCTCACTAGGCAAAAGAGCGTCCCCTAAACTCAAGAGCAGCCCATCTACCAGCTGGTTGGTAACCTATGAAGAGGCTGGAAGAAAAAGCCCTGCCCAGGAGTTTCAAGTCCTGGAGCTGATTAGGCTCTGTCCCTTTGGATTTAAATAGAAAGAGACTGAGTGATCAGCAAGTTGGTGGCGGACGAGAGAATGCTCAAAAAACCAAAAACTGACACTGGAGTGACACAGTGAAGTTTCTGTGAACTCCAGCTATGGAGGGATCTGATAGCTAAAAGCCTGCCCGAATTCCCAACCTCGTGGCAAACCAGGGCAGACCCCAGGCAGGTGGCCTGGGACCCTGGCTCTTACTCCACCGGTCTGCACGGGAAGCGTGCGGTTCGGCTGCCCCTCAAAGAGCCAGTGCCAACTCAGCCTGACTTTGCCCAAGAAAAGGTAATGTTTTGGAACCCACAGTCACCAAAACTGGGACCTCCGTAGTAGTGACAGTCCTATTTAGATGCTGACGGGGTGGGCCTGGGCTTCAGCAGGAAGCCCCTTCGCCTCTGAGGGCACCTGTGGAGTCTAGGACCATTTGGACATCCCAGTTCCTTTCTTCCCAGTTCCTTTCATCCCACGTCTGCCATCGTGACACATTCTGGCTGAGATCACACCCAGAGGGTTGACAGGGCTGCCCCAGAAATCACATGGAGGACTCCACAGAAGCACAACAATAAAACTTGTTCCTGGAAAAGTAAGGCCACGTGCTTTACAAGTTCTAGACAGGGCTGACTGGGGTTTGGGAGGTGGGGGTCAAGATGGGGAAGGTAGTCAAGGTTATGTACTTGTCTTGAGAATGAAACTATGCCTATCAAGATTTACAGAAAGAGAGCCAAAATCAACTTTGCTTCCCTGAATTCTGCTCTCCAGCCAAGAGTTAAGGAGGGAGCAACAGCAGCAAGACCACATCTTTGGATACTCACGGACATCAAGATGGCAAGAGTAGACACTAGGGGCTACTAGGCACAGGGAGAGAGGGGTAAGTGTTGAAAAACCACATATGGGGTACTGTGCTCAGTACCTGGGTGATGGGATCTGTCTTACTCCAAGCCTCATCATTATGCAATATACCCAGGTAAGAAACCTGCAAATGAACTCCCAAATCCAAACTTAAAAACCGAAATTCTTGAAAAAAAGGAACCATGTTGTATACCCATTCAATTTCACTTGCAGCTTTAGAACCTAAGTCTCAGTGACTGGTCTCAGGGCATGAGGGTGAGGTCCAGTTTGGTGAGGTCACCAGTGGGTCATGCAGGCCCCAGAGGCCCAGAAGTTTTCTACAGCTTTCCAAGGACCACGTATGTTAGCAAGACTTGGGTTCAAATCCCACCATGTTCACTGAGCCCCATGTCCTGCTACACATGCTTGTCATTTCATTTCTGTATATGAACCACAGTTCTCCCCACAGCAAACGAGCCTCCTGACACATTTTAAAGGTATGACGAAGGCTACATAGTAAAGCAGAACGGGGCCAGGCGCGGTGGCTTATGCCTGTAATCCCAGCACTTTGGGAGGCCGAGGAGGGTGGCTCACTTGAGGTCAAGCATTCAAGACCAGCCTGACCAACATGGTGAAACCCCATCTCTACTAAAAATACACAATTAGCCGGGCATGGTGGCGCCCATCTGTAATCCCAGCTACTAGGGAGGCTGAGGCAGGAGAATCACTTGAACCTGGGAGGCGGAGGTTGCAGTGAGCCGAGATCATGCCACTGCACTCCAGCCTGGGTGACAAGAGTGAAACTCAGTCTCAAAAAAAAAAAAAAAAGTAGAATGGCATGTGGAATGAACCTTGCAGGCAATTTAAAATTTAGAATTCACCCTCTTCTCGTCTCCCTTTTCCCTCTCACCGCCCTATCCCTCCCAATAGTTAGTTTAAAAGCAGAATCATTTGAATGACTACCCAGTATGTAGAATGACTACCTGCATGTAGACTTTTCTCTTTTTGCCCTTGGCCAACTCAATTGTACTCAGACTCTCAATTGGTGCAGAAATCGCCGCACTGGGTAACATCACACACACCTTGTACACTGTATTGAATCCACATTTTAAGGGTTTTTCAAGCATCTGAACTCTGTGCTCACTTTAGAATCTGAGCACTGTGAAAGGGGAAACTCCACTGCATGCCCAAAGTTCCAGAATCGAGGAGTTTGTTCATTCAACACATCTGCTGTTCTTAGTACCTGTGACTGGGGCTGAAGACACAGAGAGGACCAAAACATGGATCCTGGCATGAAAGAAATTAGAATTCCCCCTATGCCCTGGCTGGGCTCACTTCATCTCATTTAATGCTCAGAGCAGGTCCAGGAGAGAGGATTGATTAGAAAGGAGCCATACCCTGTCCTTGGTCACCTGACTCCTAAAGAGTGCAGATGAGATTTGAACCCAAACTTTTCTGACCCCAAAGGCAGACTCTCTGTGCTCATGCACATTAAAAGCTAAAATACCAAAGAGAAAGTGAAAAGGGCTCAAAAGGAGTTCAGGGGCTGAGGGCTTTAGCTCCTTCTCTGTGGATCCGGGAGGAGATGATATTTGAGCTAGGCCTTGAAGAACGTGCAAAAGCAGTCATTTCCCACAGGAAAAGGTGTGCCTAGCGGCGGCAGCAGAGAACACTGAGCTCTGTCTGTCCAGCCTCCATTCCCCTTTCTTTTTTGGACCCCAGAATCCTAATACATTGGAGATCTGCCTCCCTTCCATTCTCAGCCCATGTGGTTTGTATGGGGTGGACCCCAGCCTTGACCATTAGGGTTAATTCCATGGGTTTTACAGGTGGGCACGATTCCCACTGAACCAAAGAGACTTGGTCACATGACTCTTTGGGGCTACTAGGAAGAGATTTTGCTCCACCGGAGATACTCAAAGGATAGGATGTGTTCTTGGGGCTGCTGGCAGCCACCTGGCTACCATGTGGGAAGCAAGCCTGCTTTAGAATATAACTGTGAGAGAGGAGAGCCAGACAGAGGGGCAAAGAGAGTAAGCCCCAAGAGCTGATGACACAGTTGGAGCTCCTAGATCCAGACATGCCTGTGGCCAGCTTATTCCTGGGCTATGTGTGACACAAGCTAATAAACGCCCTTCTTTGCAGAAGGCAGTTGAAGGGGACTTGTAGCCCTGGATCAATACAGTGAGCAGAGTGGAGAGCTAGGAATGCTGGTCTCAGAGGAGGTAGCAGCTGAGACTACATGGATCATTGCTCTTCCGCTGGAACTGCAGAAATCAAAATTAATTTTTAACCACTTATTTATCACCTCTTATTGAACACAATTTACAGATGGGTTAGTCAGAAGGCAGGATAATAGAATTGTACATGCCTTAGCGGAAATACTGTGGCTCAAATTCTCGTTTTGATGAGGAAACGGACTGAGAGTCAAAGGATATTAACCAACATGTTGCAGAGAGCAAGTAGCCCTACTGAGGGCAGGATGCTAGGAGAGCAGCCCAGGGGTAAGCTGGGTAGGGCGTGGGGAGTGCAGGAGGACCCAAATATTGGGCTGAGAAGAAGGAAGCAGTGCGGAAAGCACCCAGCAAGATGCCTGGGCTGGGCAGGCGCCACGGATGTCCCGCCTCCGCATCAAACAGAGCACGGTTCAGATCCTGGTTCTGCTGTTTTGCTAGCGGGGCCATCTTGAAAGCCACTTCCTGCCTATGCCTCAATGCAATTGTTTATAAGATGTGGGCTCAGTTCTTCATTTAACTGCAATTCCTTGAGCTCTGTGATCACCACTTCCCAAAATAGTCTCTGAACAAGACAAACAAGGTCCTGGTTCTCCCCCTCCCCCAACACGCCCTGCATTTTTTGTTTATTGTTTCGCAGCAGGATGCCCACAGAACATAAGTGCAAGTACTCAGCTGTGCAAGAGGGGCTAGTCCTTCAGTACAAATGGGGGATATGGCGCTCTTGTTTTAAATAAATACTTAAACACGACTTGAGTCCTACAAGCATCTGGACTCTAGGTCTGAGTATTGGAGTGTCTCACTCGCGTGCAGCAAGGACGCCATGGTTCCCTCCCCGCAGTGATCAAGACATGGATCACAACGCGCCCCTTTTCTAGAGCCTTCCCTGGCTGTCTACAGGCAGGATCCAGCTGGGAAAAAGACAACTGGAATTTCTCAAAGGTCGGTGGTCCGCACAGTTGAGGATTCTACGTGGTTTTCTTGGTTCCCTTGGTGCGTGTGGAGGAGGCCGCTGAGGCCCTTAGATGACCTTCTTCAGCTCGTCGTACAGGACCAGCACGAAGGCGCCCCCCATGCCCCGGAGGACGCTGGACCACGCACCCTTGAAGAAGGCCTTGCGCCTCTCGTCTCTGAAGGTCTTCCCGCAGCAGCCGACGGCGCCCGTGTGCCTGACGTCACTGCTCTGCGCCGGACTGCATCATCACGCGCCGCCGCACCGTGTGGAAGGGGCTGGAGGCCACGCCGGCCGCGGCCATCACCGTCCGCGCCATCGTCCAGCTCACCACGATGTGCGTGTTCTTGGGGTCAGGGAGCATGCCCTTGGCGGCATCGTACACGCCAAAGTAGGCGAATCGGTAGATGATGATGCCCCGCACGGAGACGCTGGAGCCCTGGGACAGGCCGCGGACGCCGTGGGACTTGGTGACCTTCGCCAGGCTGTGTCCCAGGCCTGGGAACTCACGTTCCGTGCCTGACTTTCCCACGCTGGCTGCCAGGCGGGTTCTGGAGAAATCCAGGGGGTACACGAAGCAGACGGAGGTGGCGCCGGCTTCACCGCCGGAGGCCAGGTTGCCCGCAAAGTACCTGCAGAACTGCGTGTGCTTGTCCACACCCCCCAGGAAGATCTGCTCGTACTTACCCTTGAAGGCGAAGTTGAGGGCTTGTATGGCGAAGTAGCGGATGGCGTTGGGCAGGTTGCCCCTCCGGAAGGACAGCACGCCCTGCTCCTTGGGGATGTGGACGATGCAGTCCACGATGTCCTTGTACTACTTGTCCGCGGCGATCTGCTTGCTCACGCGCTGGACCTGCAGCAGCAGCTTGATCCGCTTGATCCGGGCGGCGGCCGTCTTGGAGATGGCGGCGGCGATGTCTCCGGCCAGGAAGTACTCGGCGAAGGAGATTGCCTGATCTGTCACGTGGCGGGGCGTGCAGCGGAGCAGGCAGACAGCCAGAGAGCGGGCATGGAGAGCGAAGGGAGGGCGTCGCTCGGTCCTGGTTCTTAAGGCTACATTTCTGGTAAGGGAAGTCAGAAACATGGCACGTTTCCCATCTGCCTTGCGGTGTCATGTAGGCTTCCTGGAGGTGGGAATAGTTGTCCATTTTGTCACTGTCTAGCTTAGAACCCAGCACATAGTAGGCCTTCAGTAAATGTGTCTTGAATAAATACAAGTCGACAAATAAAGTAATGGTGAGTACTATGGAGTAAATGGAATGCAGGACGCAGTGGGGGAACATGGGATAACTTAGAACGTCTGGTCAGAGAAGTCTCCTCTGGGGAGGCGGTACTTGGGCTGAGACCTGAATGATGAGGAGGCAGCAATGCAAAGAGCTGGGGAAACGCATGCAGTGCGTGCAAAGGCCCTGAAGTCGTAACAAGAACGGAAAGAAAGCTCATGTCGCGGAGTGGGAGTGAGAAAGAAAAACTGGACATAAAATGACATGGAAGAGGGGGGCTGAGGTTACTGAAGACCATAACAAGGAGTTTGAACTTGATTCTAAGCATAGTGGCGGCCACTGGGGAGTGCTGGGCAGGGTGGTAACATACCCTGACACATGCTCACTGTGTGCTAGATGGATTTCAGCAGGAATTACAATAATGTATGTTACCCACAGCATCTGGCACATAGTTGGCACATAGTAGGTGCTCAGTGCACAAGGTATCTGTCACCGCCCCAAAGCCACATCCACGTGGGTTTGCCAACATCCAGCCCAAGCCAAGAATCATGTTCTCATCCTGGGTTCAGCCTCTCTCTAGCTACCCTGGGTACTGGGACAGTCCCAGTAAAGCTAACAGACTAAGCTTTGGGGAACATCTTCCTGCCTCCTTTTGGTTACGGTAACAACCCAGGAGAGACGATGGAGAGGCCGGGGGCAAAGGCAGGAGTGGGGCCTTCTGTTAAATGTTGAGTTGCTCCCAACATACTTTTCAGACACTCGTTCGCTTTGCCCAGTCTCCTCCGTAAGAGACATGCTTTCGGATGTGTTTTGAAAAATATTCCATATGCTAATGGAATGTCACCATCTGCCAAAGAAGGCAGAGCTGTTTTTAAAGGAAAAACTATTACAGAAATGAGGTATTCACAGAGGGGCACTAAAGAGCCCAAACGTCACTGACCTGAATCTGACCTGGGCTGCCTCGTGTTACCAACTTGAAAAGGGAGTGAGAAAATCTGAGGCCAATTAACTTCTCTCTCTCTCTCCCCCCCCCCCTTGCCCACCTCTCTCTCTCTCTCTCTCTCTCTCTCTCTTTTTCCTCCTCCCCTTCTTGGAGACATGATGAAATTTCCTGAAAGAAAAACTCGCAGCCCGTTCTATAAAATGCTTTAGCCTTTGGTGGAAAAAGTCCCGATGGTCCCTTTTATCTCTTCATTCCTGAGGCGCAGACCTGGCCCCCGTCTGTTTGTGCAGATGGGCGGCAGGGAGTGTTCCCAAGGACAAGCCAGGCAAGGGCCGGAGTGGAGAAGCTATTCCCGGGCGCCTGTTTGTTATTGCTGCCAGAGCCCTGGCCGTTAGGAGAGTGCGGTGCTGTCTTGGAAGAAGTGTGAAGCGGGATTAGGTGTCCTTCGGTGTGATTAGTGGACAGGCATTGTTCCCCAGGAGGCCTGGGCAGCTTGGAGGCAAGTGTTTGCAAAAGAGGGTTTCCAAGTTCTGAGAGTGTCCATGGGCCCTGCAAAGACTGCTGGGTACCATGCTCCTGGCTCTCCCGCTGCTCCTTCCCACCTTTGTCACAGGCTTGTCCTCCCGTGCCCCTTTCCTAAATGCAATGTTCCTCTGGGCTCTTCTGAAACTACCACTTGTCTCCTCTTCTAGGCAGCCCAGGGGCTCCACTGGAACCTCTCTGGGGCCCCACCAATGTCCACATCCAAACGCATCCCCCTTTTACCCCCTGGATCAAATCAACCCCAATTCCCTTATCTGGGAGACTGGAGATCCCTCCAGCCCCTTGCCCACTCCAGAAATCCCCATCTCAAGGCCTTGGCGTGTTCATGCCCGCAGCCTAGAACATTCTGTCCCAGCTCAGTACATGACCAGTTCCTGCTTACTGAAAACTTGGATCCAGTGTCCCCCAGGCCACACCTAACCACCACCCAGTGTAACCTCATCACTGCAGTCAACATTATCTGAATTTATCTTGTAAATGCATGTTTGTGGACACCCTCAATCATTGTGCATTTTTCCTTTTAGAATGTAAGCTTCCTGAGAGCAGGGACCTTGTGTCTTCTTCCATTATAGCCCCACCTGCTGGCGCCCCGGAGACACACACCAAATAAGAATGCTGTTGTCAGCGCCTCCAGCTCCCTCCACACCAAGCCCGCAATTCCCAACACCCTCTCTCACCTCCTCAATGTTCCTTATTCAATTGACCTGAATGAACATCTCTCTCCTGAATCTTAACTCGAGCTTTCCAGCTGGTCACTCCTGAGCTTAAAACCAGCCAATGGCTGCCCCCGCTCCCAGGATGGAGCCCCCACTCCCCAGCCGGGCCCAGAGGGCCAGCCACAGTCAGACTCTTGCACCTGTCCGGCCCCTTGCACTCCATCACACTTTGTGCACTTTTGAAGACTCACCAAGAATATATGCCAGGGACATAGCAGTGGAGGGGAGGAGAAAAGGGCAGAGGCTCTGTGGGTGCCAAGGGACCACAGTGTGAGCCTGGCTCTTCAGAGACACTGTAGGCATCCAGGGGCCCACGGAGCATGGAGAGGGAGAGGCTAGGGCAGCGTGCTAAGAAGCCAGCTGTGGCCACCAGGACACACCAGAATCAATGCTAAACCCAGCTGCTCAAAAAGACAGACCTGAGTCTCAGTATCTTCACCCGTAAAATGGTAAGAACATAAATTATGCAGGGCTACAGTGAGGATGGGAGCACACAAAGCCTTCACCAGCAGCCTGGCACCCATGAATCTTTATTTTCTATTCACTCACTTATGTTCATTCTTGCTGTAGTGGGCATGATCCAACCTCTTCCTTGCATCATCCACCAGCTATACACACCGTGAAGTCGTGAAATTCTCCCGTCCTCTCTGGAGACAATACAATTCACCTAGGAGAGTGACATGTTTAGACCTCATTCTCTTCCCAGAAATACTAGCTGGGGATATGATAGGTTGACTGCCTTTATATTTATAATAAAACTAACAATTATAACTCAGTATAAACCTGTTCACTGGTCCATCCCCCTCTTCCACCCACTGAACAACCCAGGCCCTGGTTACAGACTCAAGTTCTCACTGGGACCAGTCCTTAGGGAAGATAATCAGCTCTTGTGTTTCCCCTCAAGAGGCCCAGACTGGCTTCAGGATTGCCTGAGTACATTGGTTTCATAGCATGGCACCCCAAATTCCACTAACTCCTGTCCCTTTCTCCCCTCTGAGCATTCTGTTCCCTTGGTTTAAACATTTAAATTGAAGCTACAAGGCACTGTGCTAGGCACTTTAGAGATGTCATTTAACCCCCCATAGTAATTTTAAAACAGTCTCTACTTCCCAGCTGAGGAGTTCGGGTTCAGGATAATCAATGCCCTTGCCTGTGGGGCCTGCTGTCAAGGCTCCAATCCTGAGCTAGGTCTCTGGGCCCCAAAGCCCATGCCCTTTCCTCTCTGCCATCTGGTAGACAAGTGGCCCCCGTAGAATTGGTCAATGGTGTTCTAAGAACATCCCTTCCACTGGGCATCATGGGTCAAGCCTGTAATCGCAGCAACTTGGGAGGCTGAGGCAAGAGGGTCCCTTGAGTCCCAGAGTTTGAGGCTGTAGTGAGCTATGATTGCACCACTGCACTCCAACCTGGGCAACAGAGCTAGACGCTTAAAAAAATAATCTTTCCCAGTCCCCCATGTTGGTGGGATTTGGAAGTACAAACACAGCCTGCAAGGAATGGGAAATGGCAAAGTCCATTAAATCTAAAGCTGGTGAAGGGTAGAGAGCGCTTCAGCTGTACACACTGAGATCTCACCAGACACCAGATTTAAGCTGTTCTCTGTCCCCACTCAAGTCCTTGCCCTTGTAACTTCCAGGTTCTCCCAGGCCGGCCCAGTAATAACTCACATACTCTGAGCAATCAAATCAAACCATTCCTAGAGACAGGATGAGCAGATGACCACGAAGTTGAAAATAATAGAACAATACCAACTCATTGATAGGATTCTACTTTCCAGTTTACCTGACATGCACAGAAAAAGCTACTTACGGAGTCGGGGGATAGGGGAGGGCTAGCATTAGGAGAAATACCTAATGTAGATGATGGGGTAATGGATGCAGCAAACCACCATGGCACGTGTATACCGATGTAACAAACCCACACGTTCTGCACATGTACTCCAGAACTTAAAGTATATTTAAAAATTTTTTTAAAGCACTCTAAAAAATAAACACATTAACTAATAAAAAGTTACTTATGATCTGCCCTACAAATCTTTTACATGGCTATACCTAACCAATATAGTTTTTAACTGCTGAATTAGTGCATTTGATGTATAGGGTCCATCGTCCTATCTGTGGGGCAGGCAGACACCTTGAGATAGCCACATACTCAGTCATCCCACAGATGCTGAGTGCCTACAAGGTGTTGGATTCAACTCTGCGCAGTGAGGCAGCAGGAGCCCCAAGATCTTAGCACCTGCAAGACAAGCTCCCGGAGTCTTCCCCAGCTGGAAGAGCAAGCTGTCTATAGAAAAGAGGGTATCTATGAAAGAAACTGGTTAACCATCATTTAAGGGACTGGGAGTGAAGGGGGAGAGGAAAAATTACTTTTTACTTTTTGTGGTTTGTATATTAATCCTCTTAACCACATACATATGACACACTTAAAAATCATGTTCTACAAGAAAAATGGGTGAGAACAGTTACATAGAAATACTCTAATCTCATGCAAAAAGTCCGCATTACCAATCGGGTTGACTAATGGGGTAAGTTTGGCCTCACTAGCTGAAAAACTCAGCTTCTCCTCAGTTCTTCTGAGTAGTAGAACTTCTAAGTAGAATCCTACAGATACTCACTGGATTCTTTTCGCTTCAGTACTCTACCAGTGATGCACTTACACACAAAAATTTATTCCT